GGATTAGATCAACCATGATGCTATAATAAACTCGCCAAGTCACACACATCATACAGAATATCATCTAATTTTATTAGACAATATTTCTGTAAAACATTTGAATTTAAGTTTGCGATATTTAGCAAAAAATTCTAAACACTTTGTAAATTTTACAATGTAATTGTATGACTTGGTTGCTTTAATTTTATTTAAGAAAAGTAAATATCGAGGGATATTTCTAAATTTATTATGCAAATTAGCTAATTTACATATAATATGAAGATTCTCTCATTTTATTCAATCATTCATTGATGGTTGTTGAAAAATTGTCAGGTACACTTTATACCTTGTTTTATGCAAGTACATCATTCCTACGGCTTATTTTTGATTTCAGTTTTTATATTTTGAATAACAGTCGTGCAAATTTACGGCAATTGAGAGAACAACTGCGAGCAATTCTGTTTACTTCAGAGCTTCCAATTACCACACCATGACATTAGAGTCCTCAAAGGGCAGTGAAATTCACCAGATTGCAAAACATAGAGGTGCATGTATACATACATTGTTAGCAACAGCTGTTGTACAGGGAATAGACAGGCTTATTATGTTACATCAAAGGTATACCTATTACATGAAGTTCCAAAGTTAGCTAGTGTCAGTATTTTTGGTGAATCAGAATCAAGTAAATTGAAATCTTTGCTTTAGTTGAACTATATTACACGCATATCTAGTGAATACTTCAACAAAATATTTAGAACATACGTCTATAAGCACTAAATGAAATTCAGAGAATTATTTATGAGTCTACAAAATACATGTATATGCTCCATGATCGTCTGCATGTACATGTACTGTGTCTTTTTCAGTAATCGTAAAAATTATTTCAGGATTAAAAAATTCAAATATTTTTCAGATATTAAAAAAAAATATTGTTCAGACATCAAAAATACAAATTTGACTAAATACTTATGGTCCCTATAGATTATAACTTTTTATTTACCAAAACATTTTTTTAAAGCTACAATATTATTTTGCATGTGGGGGGAAACAAATTTATGAAAATTTTGTGAGCCAATGGAAACCACAGAATTTTGTAGCAGAGAAAATTTCTCCAGACAAAGACGTCAGTGAATTTCGCACATTTTTTTTCTTCATGAATTACATAAATCCTGAAATCATGAGGATTACTACCGGTAACAGACATAATTTCACAGTATTTTTTTAAATTATACACAAAAATGTAGCAAATAAATTATATCTAAACTGACAATCGAAATTTGAAAATTTCACATACCGGTAGTTAACCCTTTCACCACCAGACTTTTTTGTCTAAAATTTTTCTACATTTTTTCTTATATATTTCAATATTTCTGGAAATGAACCCTAATTTTTGAGCCAACAGACACAATTTGAGTGAATTTTTAGTTTTTACTCAAAAAATTTGGCTATTTTTGTCCCAATTTTCTTAAGAAAAGTGCAGACTATAAACAGGACTATTTTGTAAATTTTGTATGAAAAGAGGGAACTGGTGGTGAAAAGGCATAATCTGTAAATAAACTTAACTTAGTTCTCATATAGTCACTATCATGGATGTCATGAGCATTGCAATAAAACGTAAAAAAAAATCGAAAATTTGATTTAACTGTAATTAATTCTAAATCAAATACGATTTTATTCAATGACAAACAGAAGATAATTCTATCCTCTTTTTTTTTTCAATAACACATAATCCATCTACTTAATTTCAAGTCCTTGTGGAGTGGATTAAAAGATTAAACACAAGGTCAAAGGTGATCAGGTAATTCTACCTTGAAACTGATCTATTTGGAAATATAACTGGTTATATCTGCATATTACAGAGTATTATGCAAATTACCTACTATAGCGATTCTCAAAATGAATCAAATTAGTTTTAGTTTAATAGTTACAATAAATTTTATTTTATTTTATCACAATAAATTGATTTTATTTGTTAATACAGTTTTGACAAATAATGGTTTAGTATGTTACAGTAACTACACTAGTCTAATGTAGCGAATATTTAAATAATTAAATATTTAATGTATTTATAATAATTACACACAAAAAAATTTGATATCAAAGAACCACAACGAAAACTGATCCTAATCAGGAAATCACAAAAACAAGATGAAAATTAGTCTTGAAATAAACGATCAAAACACTTATTTATATTGCCACCTTTGACATTATTAGGAGTTAATAAACGATATCTGCAATCTTGAAATGAGAAAGTATGATGCAATCTTACTGGAGACAGCTCAGACTACGATGATGTCACACCATTTACCTCATTGCAATATGTCATTCTGATCGTCATTCTAGTCGTATCTACTTTACTCCGTCAGCTACACACTTATCCATTTATTCCACATATCCCTATTTCCCATCATCGTCAATCATTTGGCAAATGCCAAGCCAGTGAAATTTAGATAGAGTAATTTCTTCCAAATCTTTTTTATGATTACTTTCCTTCGTCTGATGCTTAAGGTGTTAGAACTCATAAATTTGTTTCCTCATTCCTCAGAACACAATATTTCATTTTAAAATTTTGTTTTGACACTACAGGTGAGTTTTATCCTTAAAATAAGAAAGTATGTCCCAGGAGGATCCACGAGGGAATATGTTTCCAATAAATACATACGTCAGTGTAAGGCCGAATGTATGTCATCTTATTTACAAATCTAAAATGGATCTGAAATTTCAGAATTTTGTAATTTCTCTATTAGTAAGTAGTGAATATGCCTATGTAAATTACAGATTGAGTCTTTCTGTGATCAAAATTAGTAATATGTTAATGATTCAGTATACAATAAATGCAATGTTAATTTGTATGCATATATTTTAGAAAATTTAATTAAATAAAATTAAAAGTCTATAAAATATTAATGCTAATGCTAAGTTAATATTGATGTACTTACATGTATGTGTATAAGAATTTAGAATACAATTTTTAACTAATCAAAGGTATTTTTAAATTTAAATTTTTTTTTTATATCAAGCAAAACAGACAGAACTGCATATGGATTTGGACGAAAACAAGATGATTTTGAACATTTTAGAAAATGATAAATAGTGATAATGGCAATAAAAAGGTCAATTTAGAATGCAATAAATTACATGCCCGATATCTCAGAGCACATGCTGTTGTAAAACAACTCAGAACGATTTCCACATAAAACATTTTCGGATTTCACCTACATGTACGCCTTAAATAATTTAAGAAAATGAGTACATTTTAAATCACATTTTCCACAGAGATTAAAGATCTGTGAATTGTGAAAACTCACATTGTTAAATTACAAGAGTTTGTTTATTTTTACAGCACTGTTTTTTGTGTTTTATTTTCGAAGAATTTTTTACATTTCAGGTTGCAAAATTTGTTTAAACATTGTTATTTTATTTAGTTACATCACATCTTTTTGGCTTTTTTATATTTGTAGGAACATTTTAATCTCCTTCGAAAGATGTTGATATATACTGTAAAATACTTTATTTTAGCTGGAATAAATTTTTGCTGATAAGACTTTTTGGGTGTTTTGCATGGAATTTATTTTCACTGTTTATTTTCAAGTTTAATAATGTAAAATATAGAAAAAATAGTATATTCGCTGGATTTCATTTTCACTGAATCATTCCTTCAGCGAAAATAGCCGAAATTAATTCTAATTGAAAATATAGTATTCTACAGTATTACCATTAGAAGAAACATACATCCCTCCCAGGTTGTAATAAGTGCATACTGAAAAAGGCATACATCAGCTTTGCACTAGAAAAAAACATTTACACAGACATCAACTTACAAAGCAGCTATAGATATATGAAACAGAAAACAATCTGTTAAATTGTTTAGCCACAGATAGGGGAGAATAAATACGGTAACACCACAGTTGACATAAATGTTCATCATTTCCACTCCTATTACAAGCACGGGTCAATTTAGGATACAATAAATTACATCACACTATCTCAGAGTCTAGCTGTTTTAGTAAACATCTTGGAAGGATTTTTTTTCTCTAAAATATTTTTGTGCCAGGCGACATTTCCAGACATTTAACACACAGTTGTCTCTCCTGAGTTTTTTTTTGTCTTTGTTGCTAATCGCAAATGAATATGTGTAAAACCAGTGTCCCAAATCTAATATTGCGTGTTTGGAAGGTAGGGCAGACTGTAATTGGATTTATACTACTTAGTGAGCAGTCGGATCCTGAAATTGATCCCAGAAACTCCCTGGTTTAGAGTGAACATGCTATCCAATGTACCATCAATCAGGTATTCTTGTAAGCATATTTAATAAAATAAAGCATCTTTAGAATCTATATATACCTACATTTGAAATAATTTAAGAAATCAAGCATACTTTAGAAACATGAGTTCCATGAAAAATCAATGATTTAAAAAAACTTGCTATGATACTACTGATAAATTGAAAAATTAAGTTTAAAAAAAAAATCACTGGAAACTTTTATAAAAAAAATTGAAATCAAATTATACGTATTCTCATTGATTTGAAAAGATACAAATTGGAATATTTGAAAACTAGTAAGATATTTAGGATGACGGATGATACGGTTTACAGCGATATTTTTTTTAAAAATCTGACACTTACCGGTATGATGATTGATAATTTGTATATAACATCAAAAATAGCTGGGAATCTCAGTAATATAATATTAATGAGAAGATTTTGTCGCTGTTTTAATCAAATCAGTTTTTTTTCATATAATCAATGTTCAGTGTGAAACACACGTAAGCACAAAATTAAATGGCTTGTTAATTTCTTATTTCGGATTTCAATTAAATTCACAGTAGATTTTAATTATATCACGTATTCTTTCGAGAGGATTGATCAGTGTTGTGTGAAAGTCATTGTAATGCAGGAACACCAACTCGCTGTGATTAAGCACTTGTGAATGAAATTAAACAAATGCTGTGAAGAAAAAATAAATTATACCAGTAAAAATAAAAATTGGTTTAATAAAAAAAAAAATTATTTCACGTACCCCTTTGACCCCATCACTGGTACCCGGAGCACTTCTCTCAGTCGGTAGCAACTCAGTATAAGAACGCACACTCAGTTCATTCAGTTCCTGTATGTTATCCGAAGGACTTAGATGATTTCGTGTACTTCCATTGCCGGTACCCTGCAACAATAAATGTAAGACACGTCTTAGCGGCATGAAGACGAAGAGGAAAAGGCTCTGGGAAGTCAGAGCCGTTGTTTGAGTTGGATACATAGAGTAATCACAGAAGATGATTTTCCTGCAGTATCCTCCTCTTTAGTATCAGTGAGGAAAAAAAAAATAAGATAAATTGAAAGGCATGTCATAGACCACTTAAGTTAGTGATATATGTTGTATCACTGACCAACCACATACTGAAATCTTTGAGCCTACTTAGGTGAGCACGTAAAAACACACGTAGATAAGTGGAACTGCGGACAACATGTTTATTATTTCAGAACTGGTTACAAACTAAGTCTTGCAAATGTTTTATATATTATATTTCCTAGATTTGAACTTATATTTATTTATTTAAAAAAAAAAAAATATAATTGAATTGCAATTAAAATCTGAGTAATTCTGTGTGAGCTGGTAACATAAACTACAATACAGTATCATCTTTGTTAAAAAAAATGTTAACATTAAAAACTTGCTTCATGAATTTTTGAAGACAAAATTTCTTTTTTTGAAAATATGAGCCAATGAGGAGAAAATATGTTTTCAGAAAATACGTAAGAAACTTAATGGTTTCTAAATTAATTATGCTAAACAAAATCAAGAATATCGTGATTGTTGAAAAAAAAATATAAATTAAAGCAGATATTAAATCAGCTAAATTAAAAAAAATAATATTGTCTAAATTGAAAATCTTCAAACAAAAAAACATTGCAGTCTTTCTTATCTATAATTTCTGCAGAAGCAGGTTTTCTGTGTTATTTTGGATTTTCTCATGTTTAGAATGTAAAATGCCCAACTTCCATTACCTAAGCATAATAGAACAATTTGTCATTTTTTCTCATTTGAGTGAATGGTTAATACTATAGGAAAGATTTTCCAGTCAATCCCTGCAGTCGGCACCTTCCCTCCCCAAAGAGTAATGGTACAGTCCCATCTGGGATGTTGATATTGATTGAATAAAAATGAGATTTATCTGTAATTTATCAATATACTGTCAGAAAGGGATCTATTCAATCTGTACAGCCTTATCCCTGATTCCCAATTTGTAATACATGTCTTGGAATAAGGCTACTTAGTTGATTTGCAAACTAATCTATCACTGTGGTATAAAAGCAGAAAGGAATGCAGTCCATATATACTTGGGTCAGAGGTCATACAGGTCAACGACTCTGAGTGATGACATATGAACATGGACATAGGCAAACAAAAGTTATTTTAGGAAATGGAGATTTGTCAATAGAGGGCGCTCTTCACTTAACATTTTGCAGGCAATTTCAATAATTTCCACAGAGGTTTGAGCAGAAAAGTAAGAAACCATTTGAGCTAGATAAAATTCATTGGAATTACAATTATATAAACTGTGAATTTTTAGTTCTGAACTCGATATGTTGTACCTATAATATTACACGCTAAACCAGTATTCTAAAATTAGTATCTCAGATAGATAGTGTGTCTAAACATTATATGAACCATGGGCTCTGTAAACATACCAATTTTCACTGTCCTGCATAGAGCAATGCAGAATTAAAAAATTGTTGACAATAATTATAAAATTATAAATTCAATTTAGCAGTGTTATCAGGGAGCATTAGTAGAGATGACAATGTCACAAATGTCACTGCAAATCTCACGTTTTATCGATTGTTAAATCAGATTACTGTTTTTAATCAGCAGAGTTAATACTCTCAACAAGGTTTTATAATTTGTTGGTAATGTGTGTGGCCTACCAACAAATTCAACTGTGACATGATATTGCAAATAAACATACCCAGGATGAGAACTGAACAACTTTTGCAGTGTTCAATCACAGTCCCTGTTGAGGGACTGTGGTTCAATTAAATAAATATTGAGATAGCTAGGCGGGAAAATTACATAATCAGCTTTGCATGTTAGGCAGCATTCAGTGCCTGTATATTTCATGTGAAGAAATTAGTTTTGATGAAATGTCTATCTATATACAAAATAAACTATACATGTATATGCGTTTTTTTTTTGTGATTTTGTGACTAAAAAGCACTTTGTAAGATTACGTTTAAAATATTACTGTGGGATTATTTCGACTGATGCGTCTCTGAGCATATATGTGCACGTAAATTCCAGCTATTAGTTGATGAGTAAGCACAGACAGATGTGTCTGACAATTGACAATTTACCATTCATTGCGAGAATCACGCGTTATGCGTGAAATCGAACATAAAAACAGGACAAACAAAGGTCATAGCGTCGTAGTGGTGTCAAACTTCGCGTTGGATTCGACAAACGCGAAAATATTTTGGGGGCATTTCCATGCTTAATAATGTGCTGTACACATTTGATGATAAGCAATTTCGATTAAGTAAGGGTATTCGGAAGCAATATTCCTCTGTCGAAAATTGGCCGGTCGATGTGTGCTACAAAATTAAGAAATTCGAGTTCAAAATCAAATCGTTCGATTTTTGCGGCAGACGTTCGACGTGCGTTATTCATGCTTCTCGCAAGATCTCCCAATTGTATGGAAAATCACCTATTCCATGGTGCAATCAAAGTGAATTGTACGTATACATTTAATCTTATGCTAAAATCGCCTTTAAGTTAAAATGCACTGTGCGTGTGAAGTGTCCATTACATGTCCATAGTGCCTGATTGAATCCAACTACTGTAAAATACTTTATATTAGCTGGAATTAATTTTCGCTGAAAAGACTTTTTGGGTGTTTTGTATAGAATTTATTTTCATTGATTTTTGACAAGTTGAATGTAAAATATAAGAAAAAGGTATTTTCGCTGGATTTTATTTTCACTGAATCATTCCTTCAGCGAAAATAGTGAAAATTAATTCCAAGAAAAAATAAAGTATTTTACAGTATGATAATTTTAACTGAATTATTTTCACAGCAATGATTTCATTTCATGTGTGTACAGAAAATAGAGAAAGTACGAAAAAATCAACTTTTATTGACAAGAAACTTTCATTCAATCAGTTTTCACAGTGTGCTATTAATACGCAAGTCCAGCAGCCGCTCACTTTTAATACATGGCTGTCTAAACAAGCACTGACAACTACATGTATTAATACATCCGACCAAGTGACTATTATGCAAATCGTGCCCAAGCAGGTCTTCTCTGACAGAGGCTAACCAATTGAGTCGTACTAGAAAGCTGCGTGTAATTTCTAATCAGTTGCAGGTCGTACAAAATATGAACGTGATTTGCATGTTTGGTCAGATGTGTACATTATGGCAGTACCCAGAATTAAAAGAGACGATCGAAACCTCCATCAGGTGGAGGCAACAAAATAGTATATGGGAATCTTTTCAACTGAGACAAGAATTTTGAAAAATTACCTGTATGTTCAGGTATGCTGTATAATGTTAGGACGTGATAACTCCAACGATAATTACATGTACATATGAACAATGCATTGATGATACAAGATACAATAGAAAGCTCAAGTGGACGTTTTGTTGAAGACAAAGCAATACCAAAACCATTCACATTCAAAAGCGTTAACTGATGGATTTAAAACATGCATCGCTCACTTCATTTTTTTTTCTTTTATGGAAAATAATAATGTACCATGTGGTACCATCTCTAATCATCCCTGATCACTCAGAACGTGACAAGAGAGTGAGTGAGTATGTTGGATTGCGTCTTTGTTGCTGATCAAAGCTAATTTAAATCAGCAAATATGGTAAACCGTTGAATTGTTGCAGATATAATTGTTGCAGATCTGATCATCACAGAGGTCATGAGGTCATTCAGGCACAGCATTTTATAATAAAGTTATTTTTACTAGTTTCACCAAAAATAGAGCATCTCCATCGGTTAGAATAAAAGGACACATAAATCAAACATTGCATTTGTTTTTGGCTTGATAACTTTTTTTACAAAAATTTTGCTATAATTTTTTTAAAATTATCTCTATCAAATGAAATTTCTCTTCTTTTCGCAGACATTTTTTTAAAAAAGTTTTTTAATGATCAAGTCTGTTATATATATTGACGAAAATTACTTGAGAGAGAAAAATAGGAGTGTAAACGGAAAAAATTACAAAACATTTTGCGATGCATCTTACATCACGGTTACTGAAAAATACTTTTGTAAACAATAAAATGGCGTGCAGTTGTTGATTGCAATGAGCTCTGAAAGAAAATTATGCCATATTTGCGTTAATGATTAGCCGATCTTTATCACAGATTAGTACGTCTTTTGTTTCAAATGTTTACCCGCGACACGCATCCAATGAAAAGAACATGGTTTGTTTCCTAATCGTCTTTTTTAGTAACCGTGATCGATATGTATCTATCTCAAATTTGGTATTCACAAGAAAGACACCACAAAGAGAAAACAAATTGCAAACAAGGTGTTGCAGAAACAAATTTTGACAGATATATGAAAAATAAATAAAAAAAAAACAAAAAACGCATTGTCACAATTTTCCAAGACCCCCCCCCCCATGATTTCAAAGGTCCTAATCCTTACTGCTAGGGACAGCAATCAAAAGCATGAAGTCAAACTACCAAAGGACTTGACTCATTTTCAAAGAAACAGCATATCAATCATTTAAATCAAAACAGGTATTCTGTGAATTCATGTGCTTAATGGGATTCTTATCTTTATTTCTGATCAGTAAGGTTATTTTAAATTAAAGGTCTCCTCTAAGTGGTACAGAAATGGATATGCATAGATAACCATACAAGCTTCTTAAATTTCACAAAGAATATGTTTTTGCTAATCTCATGTGTCGTTGGTTGCTTGGTTGCGGTGAGAATTTGGAACAGTGAACATCCCACCAGTGATCAGGTATCATGGGATAAAAACATATTTGTAAGATACTGGCACTAGAGGGCGCTGTCATCAGACTGGCTTCCTCATACATGTACATGTACATTGTACCTCTAAACTGGAAGGAAACAAGTCACTGACCCCACTTACTTTGATATTGAGGTTACATCAAGTTCAAATATTGATCCATTTTTCATTCAA